TGCCAGAGCAGATAGCTTGATCTGCTTGTGATCATGACACTGAAAGCGGCAAATTCCAACCATCTCACCCAACCGCACCCCAAATGGTGGCTCTTACGGAAAACCCTATAACCCTAAACCCGAAAGCTTCTGAACTGAACGAACAGCAGCCACTAAAAGGCCCCTGCAGCCTCCGACATGCCAATACCGAAGCCCTGTGGATCAAACTTACAGGGCCCTCGAACCTTAAAACCTGCAAGATTTAGGGCGGGCTAACGGAATAGGGTTCAAGATTAAGGGCTTAGGTTGTAGGGTTAAGGGAGTAGGGCTTTAGGTCAAGTGTACAGGGTTTATCGCTGAGGAGGGTTTGGGCTTTCTAGGTTTATGACCTGAAAAAGATAAATCATTGAGAAGCAAGTGCACAAGGACATGGAAAATCAAATTGACACCGGGCTGTTTTTGGGTGTTGTAGTGATTGAATATGTGGGCCTAAATGCTTAGAATAGGGTTTGGTGTGTTATATAGATACAGCCGTTCCTGAGGGATTTAGGACGGCATGGTATTGGTAGGTAATTTTCGGGCTTCTACAGTAGCATTCCTGAGGAGTCCCACCTGTTTGCAGCCTGCGGGCGCCTCCCCCTCCACCTAAAAGCAGTTCATTCATGATGTGAGCCATAATCTAAAGTCCTTAACGGGGATTATTTAGGGGATTAGATAGGGGACTACTATAGGAGATATAAAGGTGGATACTAGGAGGGTAGACTATGGCTCGTCTTATGCTGAATCCTTTTGAACCCTAAAGCGTCTAAGCCACAAGCCTTAAGCTTTCTGGGGTGAGTAGGGGATAAAGGAATAGAATCCCTACATTATATGTTCCCTTATCGCCCACTAACCACCAGTAAGTAAGTTTCCTGCACGCTTCCATGCCAAGGTGGAACCGAATTGCTATTCTGAGAAGCTGGACCCAGGACTCTTCAGGGTTCAATGTTTCGTTGTTAGGTCTTAGGGTGGGTTTAGTGTTTAGGTCTTCGGGTTTAGGGATCTAGGGTCTAGGGTCTAGAATTCTACGGTCTGGGTATGATATTCAGTACAGGACCAGGCAGATCTTTCAGTAGGTGAGAAGAAGATCTAAATATTCGTGGTAGGGGAGTTAAAAGGTTCAAAGTAGGAACTTCCTTGGGGGTTGAGTTGAACTACTGAGAGGTCGGAAGAACGGGATGTCTTTGGTATTTAATTCGTGCTCTCTTGAAAGTGGCCCTAAACCCTGAAAGACCCTAAACCCTAAACCCTAAACCCTAAACAGGTTGACCCCTGCCGGTCAATGCGCCGAATGTTGAAGGCCAAGATCATTGTAACTAGATTAAGAACGCACGGTCAGAATGGACGCAAGTTGGATACTGCCCCCACTCATTAACAGTTGAAGAATATTTACAATACATTTGTATAGCACCCTTAGTAGGAGCCCTGTTATAGGCCGTGAATGGGCGGGTGCAGTACCTAAGAAGCAAGGATAATGATAGCAAGCTTAAGCAAGCTGAATCTTATAGTCGCGACCAAGCGGTTTGTCTCGATATCGAACACAACAGAAGCGGTATTAGCAGGGAACACCTCGTTGAGAGAGCTGAGGTTCAGCATGCGTCATTGTGCAAGTTGTTGGAATGGGTTTCTCGAATCAGGAACCCGCAGATCTGTATGGATTCAAACAGTAAACTAATCCTTACTAATCCGATCATTTGCGAGAAACTTCTATGTCCCCATGGTAGATTTTTTTTGTATCTGCAACCTTTCATCAAAAGCTGCATACTTTCTTTCTTTGCGGTATCAGCAGCTTTTTGAAAGTATCAAGATGATGTTGGTTTTCTTGCCTGGAGTCCTTGAGGAGCTCCAAAGACTGTCTGTCACTCGCAGTGTTTGCAGGTTCTGAAAAGCTTCGACTGCATCCGCAGTTGTTGAAGAACACCACATTCTGTTACACATAGTAGCGTCAGCTTTCAAAGACCTCCAGAGCCTCAATTTGGGGTGCATACACCTTTGTTCACAGGTTCCAAATGCTGGAGTTTATCATATGTACATGCTTAAGAGAACTTCACATGCTGCTAATGGGTAATTTTCGAAACTTACATCATCCCTGGCAGCTCCAAACGTGGCATGCTTTGCAGGGTTTTCATTTTTGCAGTATTTTCAGTTCTTGCAAAGCTTCAGGACATCCTGCATTTTGCAGGATGCTGAATTTTGGAGGTTTATCCAAGATGAACGGGCACTTTTCAAGGAGAATCGATGAAAATTGTTATAGTATATTGAGATCTATGTTGAGCCCCCCCCCCATCTATGGAAATCCCCACAACAACTTTTGGACAAGCTTTAAGCTCAAGCTCTGCAAAATGCAGCATATCCTTGCCGTGGCGTCTGAAATGCTGCAACTGGCGGTAGTTTAAAGCACGGCAAGTTCATTGGTACCAGGATGCTTTGGATGCCGCAGTTTGGATCAGTTTCAAACATGATATTGATGTAGTCCTTGCATATGTTTTCCTTTTCCGGCGCCAAGTATGTTCGATCCTTTTGAGTTTTTCGTTGTCAAGTTGAAGCCCATATGTTTGCAATCTCCCACCAACCCGGGGCTGGTGTAGAAGTTCCGTGGCTTAGCAAGATCTAGTGATCCTCATCCCCTATAATCCCTATCTATCCTTAGGGCCCCTAAATGAGAAACTCCCACTCGTTAGATCCCCCCCCTTAACCCTGAACCGGGACCATGCTCCTACACCCTGTGCAGTCTCAGTCCACCGCCGGTTAAAGGTACCAAGGCTCCAAGGACTCAAATCACGGGTCTTAGGTCCCAAAGACCATTTAGATTATGGTATTTGGGACCTAAGGTCTTGTTCTTTCAGGTCTTGGACCTGCAGGGGTATATTTCTGAAGGGACAAAGCGAATGATGGGAGCCCTTTCCATGTATGTTTTTCAAACAAGTTGTCCAGCATTCTTCACGCCAGGATCGGTTTACGGAGCTGGACCCAAAGAGCCGGAAGTCTACGACGAAATCTACAGGGAGAAGGATTACCAATGGTGAGAGTCACCAGGAACGTCAAACCCAACGACAACGTGAAGCTTCATGGGACCTAGGGACTATTTCTATTTGGAAGTATACTTCTACGTCTGCTAGGGATAACATATGTCAATCCAGTTAGGGGGATCGGAAGTAGGGTTACAACACCAGTTATAACTGGTTGCAAAGTCCTATGAGCCTCCAAGTAAACATGCAGAACGTAGAAGAAATTTCTCGCCTGCAATCCGAGATGTAGAAGTGGGTCTAAACCCTAAACCCT